GGGTAATTCGGATATCGGGTTGGTTTGGGTAATTCGGGTATTACTCGAAATATATAATTTTTTTTATTTAACCTGAAAATAAATTTAATGAAATAAACACGTCGTGTTTTATTAGTCTTGTTTATATAAACAAACGAGACATAAATGAAGTTACTCAAGCTTTTAATATTGAGATTTTTTGATCAATAATACCTGAGATATCAAGTAATTTTTTAACAACTTAATCTAATCTAATAAGATGTTAAAAAAACAAATACTTAAAGATCTTAATTTAAAAGTTTAAAATGATTAAGATAATTGTAGCCATAAGTTTTGTCATGTTCTGAAGTTTCATCAAGATAATGAATTTGTTAGTTATAATAAAAATTTAAAAACTATAATGTAGAAAACAGTTAAGTTTTAAAGAACATGATAATATATAAACAATTACTTTTAATATTGTTAGTGTCATATTATCATAATAAATAGATTCATGTTTTATAATAATGATAGTTATTTTAAGCGTGATCAAATACCTGCTATATAGTACATGCTCTACAAAAAAAAAAAAAAAATTCAGGTAATTCGGGTGTATCCGAAACCCAAAAAATATACCTTTTACCCGACCTGAAAAAAAAAATCGGGTTACTAATTACCCGAAAAAATTTACCCGATACCCGATTTACCCGCTACCCTAATTACCAATATATAAACAATTACTTTTAATATTGTTAGTGTCATATTGTCATAATAAATAGATTCATGTTTTACAATAATGATAGTTAGTTTAAACGTGATCAAATACCTGCTATATAGTACAAGCTCTACAAAAAAAAAAAAAAAAAAAAAAAAAAAAAAAAAAAAAAAATAACTCGGGTAATTCGGGTATACCCGAAACCCCAAAAATATATACCCTTTACCTGACCCGAAAAAATATCGGGTTATCCAATTACCCGAAAAAATTTACCCGATACTCGATTTACCCGCTACCCAAAAAAATCAGACGGATAATTCGGATATCGGGTATTTTCGACAGGGCTAAACATTATTGAGCCTGGGCGAGCGTGTCATGATAAAAATGCTATCAAGTAGAATTTAATATTTTTTTAAATATTTTTTAATTGCAACAAATTAAAATAAAAATAAAAAATAATTAAAAAAACTTAAAGTCTTATCTTTACACACATCAAAACTAAAAAACGTAAAAACATAACTAGTTAAACACTTAAATAAAACTTAAATAAAAATAAAAATTGACTTTTTAAATTATCGATTGGTTCCGCGTTAAGATCGATGTGGTCAACAATCCAAATATATTACGTCAAGTCTCTGCGAAGATCATGATGAATCTCAACATCATGAATTATTAATCTTCTTTCCAAGTATTCTTCGCTTCCAATCTCAAATGTTTGTGTCGGTGGAACGATCTCGTTTTCGTTATAATCACATATTGAACTTCCTTCATCTTCGAGAATCATATTACGCAATATGATATATATATATATATATATATATATATATATATATATATATATATATATATATATATATATATGGTGGTTGTCGAGACCAACACAAATAATAACCCTAAATATTACACACTAAAATAGTGTATAGTGGTAAAGGAATTGAATCCACGGAGATTGGTTCAATTTATAACTCTATGAAAAAATCTCTTTGTAAAAATACTTGTGAAATAACAATAAAAATAAAATGGGGGGTTTTGGTGTTTTGAAATACTTGAAACAAGCTAGAGTTAACTATGATTTAAATAGACGATTTCAATAAAAATAAGGATTTGATGTAAAATCAATAAGGGAGATATGGTTGACTTAAAGTTTTCTCACTTTGACTTTTGATGAACATATCATTAGAATCCAATGGTGCAATACTTTGATTTAAATCCTCAATTTGGCTATAATAATCCAAGAAGCTTGAGATTACCTAGACTTTTCTTAGTTGTTAAAATGGTTAGAGAAGCTCTTAACAATTTCCTTAGTCAAAGTCACAATTTCCATTAAGCATGTAATTAGTGAAAGTCGACTAGCATTAAGAACCAAAAAGTCACCAAATCCAAGAGGGGTCAAATGCTTTCACCACCATGTTGGAGAAGATGTTTTTAAGATTGTGTGAAGCAAAAACAACACAAAAATCATTTGTTGCTTGCTAATTTGAGGATCCTTTACTTAATCAAGAAATTAGCCAACTAATCACCACAAACACATTAGAACTCATGAATAAAAATATACTAGTAGTGATAATATGATAAAACACAAAACATTTCCATAAAGATTTAAGAACAAGTTCATGGATTCTTCAACATTCGACAAAAGTTCAAAGGATTCAACAAGAAATCAACCAAGATTTGTTTAGCCAAGCATGACTAAACTCAAAGGAGAAAAGTTAGATGAGATTGTACCAAACATTTTACAATAATCAATAGGTGAAATCAAGATGTTCTTGAGGTGTTCTTGGCCTTCAAAAGCACTCCAAACTCCAGAGAGAATCAGCCAAACTCAGACCTTCAAGATGATGCTAAAGAGGCACACCAACCTTCCCAATATAGAGCTCTTAGCAAAATCCCGAAATTGCCATTGTCAGGAATCCACGCGGGCCGCGGGTACTGACGGGAATTTTAGGCTTCTTCAAGTCTTGGGCCCCCACAGCTAATCCATTAGCCCAGTTCGAGTCCAATCAGCTTGTAGCCCATTTTTCTTCAATATTTCTTCCATTTGAGCCCAATTTGTCTTTCCACATCACTTAAAACTTCCGCAAACTCCTAAACTTCGATCTTGCACACTCAAGAATTTTCCCGTGCCTTTCAAATTTAAAGTTCAACATTTTCAAGCCTTCAAGCAATTGACAAGTCCACCCCACGAATCACCTTCATAGCCATCAAGCACGAAATCCCCAATTCCCTTCAAGCCCAATCGCCTCCCAAGAGTGCCGCCCCGCTAGTTTCCAAGAAAATCTACAATAATGCTCAAGAAACTAGAAAGTACCCCGAAATGGTCATAAAAATAACAAAAGGGAAAATATGCATGGAAGTTAACTAAAATGCGAATGAAATGTACTAAAATAAACTATAGAAAGAAGTAAATAAAATGAAGCTATCAAATCACCCCAAGCTTAAACCTTACTTGTCCTCAAGTAAGACAAGACTAAATGAGTTTGGGACGAACTACCCTAGAAATAAAAAGAATGGATAGAACCATGGAACCTGTTTGATGTTAGTAAACATGGGAAGAATTGATCTCGCTGCTGTCTCACAACTTTTTCATCTGATGACAATGGGACCATAAACCACAGCCAGGACAACTCCTCTAGGTGAATAAGGAGGGATGGTCGGTCGTAGTCTTAATGGAACATGCATACAATGAAGAACATCTGTAGTAGGGAGAAAGCAACTGGATAGGCTCGGGTGGAGCTCTTCTTTAAGTGCACACTCTGATCTCACGTCTGCCGGTTTCTCTCATGTGTAACTTGGTTTAATCGCTCGGGCACCGTTGTAGGAATCGGTTCACTTAGTGTTGGCCCAAACCTCCCGTAGTATGCAACTCGACAGTCTCCCTAACATCACCAATTTGCGAAAAAAGAACAACTCGATCTATATACAATAAAACAGACCTATATAAATGAATATCAAACGCCGGGTGACCAAGATGTTGGGAAATTTGTTCAATAATTGAACCGGCCACCTATCTAAGATAGTTGCAACTGAAAATTTGCGTGCTTCTTTTTGTTTTTTGTTTTTTTTGTTTTGTTTTGTTTTGTTTTGTTTTTTATTTTGTTTTTTTTAATGATAATAAATTTGAAGGTAATGTATTAACAATCGAAATTTTAACAAGAAAACCCTTTGACTCAAAATTTGGTTCCCAAAGGTGTGTAGGTGGAACCGAAAGGGTAATGATATAATCCGAATGGCCTAAATGTGCAAATGACCATGTGTGGAGCATAAATATGTAATGTAAGCTCCTTTTCAACTTGTGGTTTTTCAAAGATAATGAAAATGTCCAAATGTGGACTAAAAGACTCTCCAAAATTCTAAGAAGATCGCAAAAAGATATGGTGATGTAAAGAGACCGGATATGGATTCTACTCGGGGACAAGCACCAATGCTTCATCCTAACAGTTCAAACATGATCAAGTGTGATCCTCTCTGCGGTAGTGACCGCAAGGCTAAGAACATCCATTGATATAGTATATCCTACAGTTGTTAGTATTGTATGCATAATTTTTCATGAAACTACCTGGACATGATCACTTATCCCTTTAAGCTACCAGCATCTGATCCCAAGTATGAAATCCCAAACTGCAGCTAGCGGTCCCGGTTCGATGGGTGAGATGGCAACAAGATCCTGGACCAATAATGATACAATAACTGTGAACCTGTCCCATGGCATCCAAGAGAGGTGAGAATAAACAGACAACAAAAATGCATGAATGCTAATGCCTTAAGCTAAATGTTATGCAAAAATATAAAAGGTGAAAAAGAAGAAAATAAAATCTTTTTGGAATTTTAAATAAATAAAAAAAATGAATGAAAATTAGCTTAATACTAAAATGTTATGCAACCTAGTTAAAAATGCATGAAAAAGTAAAAGATAAGGGAAATGCCCCACCCCAAGCTTAAGAACAAGTATTGTCCTCAATGCTTAAGGAAAGGGCGG